AGCAATACTTTGCTCGACCCGGAAATAAAACTCAAGACCGGCAGCCCGGCAATCGCACTTGCGACCAACCCAACCATGCCAACGAGGCAGTTTCTTACACTATTAAATATTTAAAAAAAAAACTCAAAGATACAAAAAGCAGCAGCCCACTAGAAACGGGAAAAATCCAAGCTACCGGCAGTCAGAGCTCTAGAGGGAGGAATTAGGTATTATTACCTATATCAACTAATATCAACCAATTAATCATACAATAGAAACTCTGTACTATCCATATTACTATCTGTTCAACTATGCCAATAATCAAATTGATTTAGAACTTTATCCGTATGTACCATAATCGAAAATGCAATGCAGGTAATTGAAGGGGCCACAGATCTATGAACTGACGATGAGTCAATCAGGTAATATGGTATAAACCACAACAGTGACAGATAAAAGGCCTTTTCATACCACAATACTAATGAGGTCAACGTGGTAGAAACGGTGACACATCAAGCTATACATCCACTATAAAATGACCGTCGAGTGTGTGCAACGACCGTAAACAGCAAGACCATGTTAAACTGGTTTTATATAGCTCGACATGTGTACAAATTTTAAACGCTATGAATAGTTGGTTCTCGGAAAATAAGTGACAAAGTGCTTTAGCAAAACGCTTTGCTATGCATGTATGTACTTAGTAGGTATGTTAACGTTTCCGTGGCTCTATTCTGAATGACAATAGGCGTGTCGACAGGGTAAAAAAATCAAAAAAGTAATTAGTCCGTCATTAAGATCGCACGAAAATATCAGACACGTATTTTTTGTTTTATCAAATTAACAGAAGAATACGTAGTTATTCCGCATTAAAGTGAGGGAGTGGGGGGTGTTGACGTCACACTTACGGAGAAATCGTACCTAATTGTGACGTCACGCGTCATTTTAACTCATAATATCTACATGTTTTTTTGGATACGAGAAAAAAGAAAAAATACGTATCGAAGATTTTTAAAATATCTAAAAGACGGACAAAAAATTTAAAAATAGTCGCCATGCCTATTGATGATAATGTGTTTTTTTGGTTTAGTATACTTCTTAATCGAAAAAAATTAAGATTTAATATTGTGATCTAGTAAGATATTTAAATCTTTACCATAAATTCAATGTTATAAGTTTTATTTTCTTACTAAATTGTGTCGAACATATAAAAATTTTGAAGCATGTAAACCACTGGGTTTACTCAAACTCAAACTCAAAGTCTTTATTTGCATGTTAAGGTAATACATACAGGTCATTACAGGTCTTATGAAATAACAGGCACAGCTTAACGGCCTTTTTCAGGCGTTGCAAATTTTAGGGCTGTCACTAGCTAATTATAAATTACCTACATTTGTTTAACATTTATTTTTTTAACATATTTATTGATATGTTCGGAATATAGGTAAGTACTTAAGTATATAATATATTAGTGGGTCAGTGTAAAATGTAAGTGGGTATTCGTAAAATGTATAGTATTTAGAAGCTAATGGAGTACCAATGGTTGCCATATTAATAACTTATTGTTAGATGTCTATCTTAACAAAGTATAAAACACAAAAACCCACCCACCCGCAGGAAACTAAGCTACAACTGATAAATACTAAAATACAGGTGAAAACCATCTTGCAAACCACTTGTCATATAACCAAATAGCTCATTTAACACTCATCCTAGCAAATACGAGTACAACAATAGTTAAACATGGGTGTAAATTCTAGTACGTGGCTCCTCAGAGAATGCTACCAAATTATTAACTCTTGCGTCCATAAACACATCATAAACTGAATACAAGGAACTATGAATCTTTAGTCTGAGAAACAGTGAACTATATCTCACTTTACAAATGCATTATCCTACAGAAGGATACTAACATATACCATAACAGAATAGAACAGAAGATAATGTATTTTACTCCCTAAAGTGGTTGACAGAAATGGACACACTAATAAAAATATAACACCCACTTTTTGACAGGTGGGTTTTAAATTCTATGCAACAAAGTGCAAGTTCGTTTCACATTTCAGACTATATATGTATATAACTTTTCTAAAACAAAAATTTGTTCAGTTTATCATTTATGGTCATGCAAAATAAATGTGTGTGCAAAATTTCTGCTCCATCGGTTGACGATAACTACTTCAAAGTCGCAAGATTCCACGTCACACACAGATACATAGGTACCTATGTATGTATCATGCTAGTAATGTGTTGTCAGCTGTATGGTGTACATGAAGTGATAATAAATACATTACAAGTTAAATAAAAGCTTATAAAAAGTCACACTCTTCTGTCCGACCAGAAAACCAAACCACAAAGTCACAAACGCCCTTATTAGCAAAAGAGCAGCTCACACTTTACAAGATGACGTATCACACTTGAAGCTAGATTCAAGGAGCAACGTGCCAAGCTTAGTCAAGAGGCAAAGTTAGCAATTTAAGTCGGGATACTGACCTCCTTCGATATGTAGAAGTTACTGAAATCGGGCGTGGTAAAACTTCCACTGATAACGTACCTACGTGCTAGAAGGAAGACGGCGATAACTAGATCACATTATGTACTCGGTTTAAAACATAACTTTGTACGTGTGAAGCCTGTAATCGCTGTTTTATTATCTAAGTTCGTAACATTCGATTTTAGGGTTATTGAATTGGAATTCTATTTCGTGGGTCGGAGATTTCAAATTCTTTTTCACTCACTCCATTATTTCGTGTTCAGTTTCTTAGATTTCCTCTTTCGTCTAAAATAATATGTTCGAATTCTGAATAGTAAAGTCAATCTACAGTATTTTTGTCACTTAACACCCAATCATAATCCATTTGCGTTAATAAAGTTTCATCTAAATCCGTTCAGCTGTTTTTGTGTAAAGGTCAATAAACAAACACACCCTTGATCCTCAGAACTTTCGCGTTTAACAGTAAAATCACCAAACAACGAAAATTTGCTTTTCAATGTTTTCTACATGGAAAAAGGTCAGCTACAAACAAAATAGGGAGGCGTGCCAACAGCCTAAAAACACGATTGTACATAAATAATGGTAGTTTGCGAACATTTGCTCACAAACTCCATAACACATCGATCATGGTTGACTCTTAAACTTCGAGCTACAAATTGACAAAGAGTCCATACATACATTCTTTTCTTTTACTTTTTCAGGGATCCAAAAAGCGCTGACAAGACTTTGATACTCAAGCTGTACTGTCTAACCGTCTGTGTGTTTGACACAAGAAGGTGACAGTAGCATTTGAACCTTAACACTTGCCATTCACAAAGCGTGAACTACACAAAACAAACCAAACGGAGTTACTATGGTAGACATTTCAAGTATTTTCTGATGGTTCGGAACCCTTTGTGAGCGAGCAACTCATATCCACCGACTTTTTTCTTTATGGAAATAAGTTAGTAGCTAAACAATAAGCGGAGATTGATTTATGTTGCCCACATCTCTTGGGCCAACATTTGGATGAAGGGTTGCCAACATTTCGTGGACTCCAGTCATAAAAGAGGTTGGATACCATAGTCGCGTAATCTGTAGCTTAAATGTATCCAACAGGGATCCATCCATTTCAATATTCCACAGCATAACAGGTGTTGCAAACATTATGGATCACATTTTACTTGTCAGGCGAAATATTTATTTTAGCGCAGAGGTTTATGCGCAGGGAAGGAACTGGCATGTTTAGTATTTTTGTACATGGACGCTTATTTGTTGTATCGTATAGTTCGTTTATTAAGTTGACACCATCGTTTTGGCACTTATGAGCAAAAACTCAAACGCCGTAAGTATCTGTCCCTATAAATTCTTTGTAAAACGACAGAGATGCCACAATATTTAAGTACAACTAAAATTGGGTAGCCTTTCAGTATTCAGGCGTTATGTAATTAGTGATTATTCATAGCAAATGATTCTATGGAAACCATACACGTGCATTTGTTTTTGTTTTAATTAATCTAGCGTAAACTCGTGCTTAGACCCACTATTCGAACAAGGAAGGTACTAACTAGCCTTGTTCCAAACATTATCCGAATTACATCGCTTCCAAATAACATATTTGCTTACATAAGTATACATAAACTCCCCGAACATGACTATGTACGTAATTAACGTCGGCTTGTAATTATTTCAGTTAAGTATTAATTTTGTAAAAGTAAGCGGTAGGTAATTATACGTGCATTGACGTCGCGAGCAAACGACCCACTACATAACGCCATTTTGAATTTTATTCTCCAAATAATATAGTTTTTATTTTATTACAACGTAAGTACTGATTTTAAAATGTTAAGAGCATGTATGAAAGACCCGGAAAATAGTAGTTGAGTGTGTTTCAGCGAATGTTCTGCCTCCAGCGTTTCATGTATTGTAAGGAGCTTGACGTTACATTTTATACAATATACTAGCGATGATGTAATAATGCACAACAATGTATTGGATAAATAACAAATTTGTAGGAACCAGGTCTTCAACTTCAACTTCAAAATCTGACTGACAAGTAGCACACGTCTTTCAGCAGGCCTCAGTCAGACAAATTTTGTAAGTGTGGGAGAGCCTTGCTTCGGCACGAATGGGCCGGCTTGACCGGAGTGATACCACGTCCTCACAAAAAAGCGACGTGAAACAACGCTTTCGTTGTTTCGTCGTGTGAGTGAGGTTACCGGAGGCCCAATTACTCCCCTCCCCAATCCACGAATCCCCAACAATCCTCAAATTTCTAATTTCCAAAAGACCGGTAATGCACTAGTAACACCTCTGGCATTTCAGGTGTCCACGGGCGGAGCCGATCGTTTACCGGCTTGTCTAATTAAAAAAAAAATTAAGTTAAATCCAAATTGTCTCTCTCCCTCTTAAAACGAAATCTATTTATAAATAGATTATTAAGACTGGCCATGAGTTATTATGGTAATAATGTCAACATTGTGTCTGAAATTTGAACATACAAAAAATCTGATGGCTGTGGAACATTTTCATCGACTATCTTAGAACTTACCTTATTATCTTTTTGCCAGGAACAAACTCCTTTCTTGTCGGATATCCTGCATTTGAGAAGAGCATCTTCACCAGGGTTCACCTCCGTGTACGTCGGCATCTCAATAAACCTCTGCACTGCATCTGTAATGGAACAAAAATATTTATTAAAAAAAAAATATCTTCCATGGAAGTAAGAGAGAGGCTCATCCATATAAAATGTACTACACTACTTTCAACAGTTGTCTTATGTTGTAAGTCGTTTGTAATATGGACTAATTAGTTTCACAAACATCGAATTGAAGATTATAATTCCAGTAGTACCAATCTTTTTACTAATCGAAAATTAATCCTATGACCGAAATCTCTTGACCAAGAACAAAATTATAGTCCTAGTAATAGTTTACCCAATCGAGATTTGCTCCTATGCCTGAAATCCCTTGAATATAACAAGCTGATAACTAAAAGTCAACAACCAACGTAAATATATTTCGGACAAACAACAAAATTCCGGTTAGAATGACTGATTGACTGACAGAAGTCCCACAGTACTGTTGTGAAATAAAAATCATTGAGTTCAAATCCATTCCGATCTGGATTTGTGTTGTTTTTCGTTTATTTGCCAGTTTTCGTAGCTCTGTCTAAGCCTTCTGTGAGCATTTCTAGTGGGTTTACAGAGATTAGTCCAACAGCATACATTTTTCCGGATTTAAAAGAGGATTCATAACGTTTGAATTATTTGGAAGCATTTAAAGAGAAAACATGCAGTTGTATGTTCTAAATTCTAAAATAGATATTTTACATACAATCTTACGAGGTAAGCAAACATGAACTAAATTAGTAATACTGACTTCTAACCAGTTATGGTTCACATGTCTTTACACGAAAACCAACAACTAACCATTATGATCCCAATATGTAACAAGAGCTCAATAATTACGAATCAACGTCCCAAGAAAATGCAATAACAAATACCCTAAGGTACGCTCCCAGCACCAGTTTGCAGAAACCGACCTATATTCGGGCAGATTCGGGACATTTCCGACCGACACCGGGCCTATGTAACGAGCCTGTGGGATACTCAATCAAACGTCAGTCCACTCACCGAATGGAGGACATGGACATCCAACACACGTCTGCTAAATACAAAATGAAAGATTTTTACAAACATTTTCAAATATAGGTACGTCAAATCCACGGAAGCCTTTTAATTCTTAAGACAAGTTAGCAAAGTTGCATAATTCTTTCCTAATAACGTCTTCATTACATGTTTCACAATTGCAATGTTTTATCACTTTACCATTAAAGTGATATTGACCATTTCGTATAAAAAATACGACAAACCCACCAGAACCTCTTAATACTGCTGCAACTCCTGTAAGCTCGGATCTACAGTGAATTGTTGGCTATGTACCTATCTACTATGTCATAAGTTTCGTGTAAAACAAAAGAAGTCGTATAAAGGCTCAGTTTTATTACGAAGAACCTCTAAAACCCGATTCATAATATTATCAGTCCAAAGGCACTTTGTACTTTGCACCACCAATAGGACAGTTAAAAAAATGTTTATATTAAAAATGTACCATTTCTCTCTGCGTCCCTTACCTGAGCATTTTATTTTATTTTTATTTTTCTTTATTCAGGAAACAAACAGTCTCTTACAAATAAAATTATTACAATACAGTGTGATACATACAGACCTAGAGTTCCATAAAACAATACAATACGAAAAGGCACTGTTTTTAAAGGTGTCAAATCAGTAGTATACATTAAAAAAAAAAAAAAAAACACAAGAAAATAATTATACAGATAGGTAAAGTTTTTAAAATGATATACGAGTTTACATACTTATAAAGCGACCGTGATACAATTCCTTTCCTAGCTCTGAGAATATTTCTGCTTAATTTTAGATTTATAAACATTGAAACTGGTATTAAATATGTCTAGTTCATTTAATTCTTCGTTATAAGTGCAAACACTGCGTTTGAAAAAGTTGTTACTTGTGTATATTGTTCTATAAGAGGGCGCCGAAAATAATGTTCGCAAGCGGGAACCATGTCGGGGCACCCTTAGATATATTCTTTCTAATAGTGGGGGTGAGTCAATATAACCATTAATTATTTTAAATAAAAACATTTGATCAAAGTATTTTCTTCTGTCAGAGAGCAATGACAAATTGTGGTATCTTAAAGAGGTCTCATAAGATACATGAGGGTGACAGCAGCGGTAATCTAAACATTTAATGAATTTCTTTTGAATATTTTCAATTCTAGTTATGTGACATGCATAATAGGGGCTCCAGATGATACATGCAAAATCTAATAGAGAACGTACAAAACTAAAGTAAAGTAACTTTAAAGTACTAGCTCGTTTAAATGGCTTTGAAATTCTTGTAATGAAACCAAGCTGCCTGTACGACTTCTTGATCACATGATCGATATGTAAGTTAAATGAGAGTTGTGAGTCCATCAAGACACCCAAATCACGAACCGAGTAAACTCGACTAAGGGATTCACCGTTAACATGGTAGTTATAATTTACAGGGGTACGGTTTCGAGTGTATGTGATGATGGAGCACTTATTTAAGTTTAAGTAAAGTTGATTCATAGAGCAATAACTAAAGAGCCCATCGAGATCGGACTGTAACTGTAAACAGCAGTCCACTCCAGAAACAATCCTAAAGAACTTGGCGTCATCTGCATATAAAAGAAAATTAGATTTTTTAAGGATATCTCCGATGTCATTAATATAAAGAATAAATAACAATGGCCCCAGATGTGATCCTTGGGGAATACCAGATGGGATCTCCAGGAAACTAGAAGTGTAACCCTTTAGGAATACGGCTTGAGAGCGATTTTTTATGTATGAGCTAATCCAACGAAGCAAATCACCATGTACTCCAATTCTCCAAAGCTTCTCAATAAGCATATCGTGATTGATTTTGTCAAAAGCTTTAGAGAAGTCCGTGTAAACAACGTCCACTTGAAGTCGCTTATCCATAGCATTGACTAGGTAATCGGTAAAATCAAGCAGATTAGTTTCCACAGACCGACCTTTACAGAAGCCGTGCTGGTTTGGGGATATATGACGCTGTAACAATCGTGAGAGCTCACTCGCTACAATTTTTTCTAAAATTTTTCCAAGTAGGTTAAGTTTGCTTATCGGTCTGTATTGCGTTACATCGTCTCGTCTATCACCTTTCGGGATTGGAGTAACTAAAGCTTGTTTCCATATTGTAGGAAAAATACCATCACGTAGTGATTTAGTATAGATCATAGTTAGCGGTGGGAATAACTCAGTTGCACATTTTCGGATAAACAATGGATGAATACCATCATAGCCAGCTCCTTTATTGGGATCGATGGCTTTAAGCTCTTTATAAATACGATTCTCGGTCACGGTTAATACATTAATTTGTGCTTGAGAGTTCAAAGGGGGATTATCAAAATCAAAATTTACGGGACGGGCTGGGGATTGAATATAAACTGAATAAAAATACTCATTGAAGAGCTTGCAAGTATCTTCACCAGTGCTAGAAATCGTCTGTTCATATTTCACTGTTGCAGGAATTTCACTATTTAGAGACTTTGATTTCACAAAGGACCAAAAATATTTGGGTGATTTATGGATTTGATCTTCACTTAGTGTTATGAATTTATCATAGTCGGCTCTTTGCAACTTTCGCTCCCTCTTACGAAGACTAGAAAATGTTTGATAATCCAGGAGACTTCCGTAACGTTTCCATTTTGCGTGATACTTCCTTTTTTCTTTGGTTAATTTAATAAGGGGTCGGCTGTACCATGGTGGATATCGGTTTGAGCTCGACACTATGCGAGCTGGTACATGTTGGTCAATTACTGCATTAATAATTCTATAAAAATTCTTAACCATAGTATCAACGCTACCAGCAGCCTGAAGCTCCGACTGCCAGTTAACCGAAGCAAGTGCTGACTGAATGGCGTTATAATCAGCTTTGTGAAACAGCCTTCTAGTGGTACTTTTCTGAGGAAGTGATACGGGTGCCATATTATGCACAGTGATAGAAAGGGACCTATGATGAGCGTCTTCTGGGGATAATGGACAATGGGGAGCCTCGACAGAGCAGGCATTATTGCAAAAAATTAAGTCAAGAAGTCTATTATTGACATTGAACTGTGAGTTATATTGTTTTAGACCAGAGAAGCTCATGAAATCTGCAGTTAATTGTGTCAAAGCGTCACCAGACTCAGAACGAATAATCATGGAGTCAGACTCGGCGTCATAACACCATACCGCATGGGACACGTTGAAATCACCTGCAACTATAAACTTGTCATTTGGATAGAGGTGCATTAAGTTGCTCACACTCTCCATTATAAGGCTCAACTCGGACTCATGACAGCTGCTGTGACGAACATAAGTGCAACATATGTGTAGGAATCCAGGAGCTTGATGTTTTCCTTTATCGGTGAGTGGGACACTGATCCACAGGTGCTCAGACGAGACAGATGCCTCCCATCCCTCACGTATGGTAGGATTTAAATCTCGGCGTACGGCAATGGCAACGCCGCCACCTCTTTCTGCGTTTGTGACTAGAGAATCCCGATCACGGCGGAAAACAATGTATCTATCGTCGAAGTACTCAGAGCTATGAAAATTATTATTGAGCCAAGTTTCGGTAATGCAATAAATGTCGTAATTATTTAATAAAATATTATTTAAAAAATTATGAGATTTTGTTCGGAGACCACTAACATTTTGATAATAAATCTTAATTATTTCAGAGAATTTTAATAAAAATAAGAGTTGTCAAACTACCGCCACCCACGTCCACAAAGTACGAGACTTGAGAAAAATCCTTCGAAAATGCTTGCATATAAGTTACCCCACACAAGTTGTATATAGAACAAATTTGACAGTATAATATAATACCTATGACATAGTTATAAAACGGTCACTTTATGTTCGAGAGATCACCATCACCAGATATACGTATGGCCTTAGAGGAGTCCGACTTCCTCATGAAAATCTTACAATCGCGAACCCATAGATGAGCAAAACCACGTTGTTGCTTTAACTCACGCGCGCGCTTTAGAAGTAACTTATTCGCCGGTATGAGATGATCACTGAAGTAGATATTTGTAGATATTTTAATTAATAAAAAA